TTCCAAATAACTCTTCTTTTATACAAGACATAAGTTGATGCTAATAGTTAAGAAAGTCAAGGTACAGAAGGGTATATATAAGGCATGTTGAATCATTTTTTTTAGTTTTGTAACAAAAATGTCAAATGTGAGTAGATGGTGTAATGAATATTATTACTCAAGATTTCACCATAATCTACTAGATATAGAATTTTCAGGTATTCTTTATTTGATTTAAAGTATCTGATCATATTCTCATAGTCCTTTCTTGAACAATATAGCTTTTCATTGAGATAGACAAGTATAGTCTTAATAGATAGATAATTATGAAGAAGAGAACTGTTTGGTAACTATGAAATACTTACTTCTTCAATGAATCAGTGCTTCTGTTTTATCTACTCTAAAGCATTCGCACAAACCAAGGATCATGTATCTTTGTTCAAATTGAATAACTACGAGATATCTAGATTAAGGCAACAAGAAAATGTTTCAAAATTCTTCACGAAGATCTTGAATCGAAACGAATTGTTCATCGGAGAGCATTATTGTTTTGGTTGTTGTTGTTTTTGGAGAATCAACGAGAAGATCAATAACTTTAGTTGTTGAAACAATTAGAGGTTCTGATTTTGAAGAGGAGAATTTTCTGGCGGGTAGAGGTGGTAAGAAAAAAGTAATGGTTAATTGACTTTTTCTAAGATCAGCAGTAGTAATTTGAGCAAGATGGAGTATGTCGTCATGTTCAATAATGAGGAATTTACCATTGATGAAATCTTTTGAATCTAATACACGTGTGATTGGTGAACGTAAATCAAAATTTAGCTTGAATTGAAAAGCCTTCGAGTCGATGGAAGTAGAAACAGAACGACAGACCACGGTGCCAGTGAACGTCGCATCAAACTCATGAAAGCTTCGAATACCCACAATCCGATCTGCATCGGATAAAAATATAGAAGATTTTGATAAAATAAAAGCATTACCTTTGGTGGAAAGTTTGCTCCTACGTGCTTTCAACACTTTTCGAAATGTATCTTCCACTTCTTTTTCATCAAGCCATCTCACTTCAATAGATCTTATAGAACGTGAAACGATCATATCATTTCCTTCATCAGTTGAATCATTATTGTCAGCATCTATAGTCATTTTATTCGGTTTACTTGAAGGTGCAGTACTTGTTGAAGATAAAGTTCGACTAGTATTCTCAAGTGTAAATTGATAAAAATCTTTTGCTGAACAAAAAGCTACTTCAGGATCTCGCTTTAATAAGTATTTGCGTGCAGCTGACTTAACGACAGCTCCGAGCCCATCACACGGGCTCTTGCCATGGCCGGAGCTAGTAAACGTCCATACTGCTTTAATTGAAAAATCTTGTTGATGAAGAGAAAGGTTCATCATATTGTTGTTGTTTTTGTATTGTGATAGAGCTCCATCACTACGCGGAAAATAAAAGTACGTTAGAAAAGTATTTGACAAAATAAAGTAATTTCATACCTAACATAATTTATTTTATTAACTATAGGATATTCTTCTCGAATAAACGTTGTTATTAGCTTTTGCGCGCAATATACAAAAGCCGTATCGTGAACCATGTGGTTTGAAATAATAACCATATTGCGATGGTCACCATCGACGGTAATTACAACTGTATATAAGGTGGTCTGTTTTTGATTCCAGTAAGTCGATTGAATTTCCTTTTGAATTACGAAAGAGAAATTCTCTGCAAAGTCCATTTGCGTGACAGCGAAAGTAGTAAAACTAGAAGTTAATTTAATGGTCTTTATGTAATCACGTTGTTGTCTTGTAACATATGTATGCGTACCGAAAGATGACCATCGTCCATTTAGTTGATTGATTAGAGAACGAAAAGATCCACTAAAATGTTGTAATTCAATATGATTGTTACTGGTAACCCATAATGACCAGTTCGTATCTGGTTTTTCATCAATATCATGATCATTTATAAAGAGATTAGATACGTTGATGTTACAACAGTTGCGGCATTGACGGTTTAACAATCTTCGGAAGGAAACTTACAAACTGTTTTGTCGACCAACTCGCTTCCACTTAATCGGCTTAGCAATATTTTACTCACTGCCTAGTATGAAAACAAGACATTTTTAAATAGTTTTTAGCTGTATATTTACTCACTGTTAGTAAAAGGTCAACGTTTTGATGTTGTATACACATACAGACTTGGTGAGGGCAATCTTCTCGTACCCAACTCGGTCGCAAAGCATAGAACTTTGAGCGACTAACTTTTAGACCGAGATATTTACTTTTAAATAATTGAAATGTCTCACTAATTGACATTGTCATATACCTAATAACAAAGTCTGTTCCTAAGTCTTTTGATGTTCGAGTATCTTTTGCAGAGGACGATTGGCGGCTGATTTCATCATCGAGATAAAAATCTTGAATAACTTGAGCTACATTGGAATCAAATGAATTATTGCCACGGCTGTCGACGGGCTTTGATAAATCGCCATGCTCTGTTCTTTGTGATACTACAGCATATGCTTGATGGAATGTGCAGCAAAAAAAACGTTGAATCTTTTTCCATCCCCATTCAACTGGACATATTTGCATGAGCAATATCTGTTCATGATAATTACTTTTAACGAAGAGATAGCGTAAACGATGCATAAAATCTTCAACTTCTGATACAGAAAGACTAATTGACGAAAAATTTTCAGTTGTAGTTTGTTGTTCTGGTTTATTAGTTAGGCAACTATACCAATCTTGAAGCATCCAATAGATTCGATCAATTTTTTCTCTAGTTTGACCACCATTTCGCCTGCGACAAAAAAGATCAAATAAAGCAACTAAATAAAACAATATACTACTTTAGACTCACGGAATGACTGGTTCGAGACGAAACATATGAAAATACTTCATTAAGCTTCTCGATAGCGTAATCTTGCTTGACTTCAATCATATCTGATAAATCTTTCATTTCTTCTTCACCAACACTTCGATCAGAGTTTTCATCAATAATGATTTGCTGAATCTTCATATTCATCTCTTCTTTTTGTGTTTCATAAAACTGATCCACTTATTCCTCATAACATTTTATACATAATGACTGATTTTCATTCAGCTTAAACAAAGGATCATTTCTTATGGTTAGACACGTTTTATTGATAAAATTAGCAAGAATCGAATTAATGCGATAAATTCCGACAGGATGATTCGGTTTGGGACCGGATTTTGTAAAAATCTTCGTTCCATCAGGAAACGTTTCCAAATGACGCGGATGTGGACACCAATTTCGTTTTAATGTAGGCATTATTCAATAGAAAATGATAATGAAATTGGGGAAAAATATTTCCACAATTGACTTCTCAGTGGGTAATAACCAATTATTAATCGGTATTCCAAACACAAATCATAGAAAGAATTACGAATGTCGCCACAAAACATATGTCAATGCCCTCACAATCCGTATAGTCTTGAACGTACTCCTGGAAATATTTTATCAATTCCTTTTCATTAATGAACTATAAACTGAAAAAATTTACTATCTTAATGAAGAGCTATATTGTTCAAGAAAGGACTGTGAGAATATGATCAGATACTTTAAATCAAATAAAGAATACCTGAAAATTCTATATCTAGTAGATTATGGTGAAATCTTGAGTAATAATATTCCTTACACCATCTACTCACATTTGACATTTTTGTTACAAACCTAAAAAAAATGATTCAACATGCCTTATATATACCCTTCTGTACCTTGACTTTCTTAACTATTAGCATCAACTTATGTCTTGTATAAAAGAAGAGTTGTTTGGAAAAATATCTTTTCAACAAATTTTCAATATAAATGCTCTTTTAATGTTGAAATTCATGAATAATATAAAATTTGATTGTGATCAATATGATGATATCATTGTGCACTTATTTATCTATGTAAAATTTTTTAACGAATAATGTATATGGGCACGGCCAGCCATCGGTCCCCTTCGTTGGTGAAGGTTTGAATTCAAGATTGAAGGGAAATGAGTATACTATGGAATACAGTACATTTAATAGTGTAAAGAAAAAGTGTCATTAGTAACGGAATATATAGTTATTAAGTGACAGTGGCGCTGTTCTTTTCTCCAATGAACTTATCATAAAACGACATATCTAGATCATCATAAGCTAACGGTTAAAAAGTGTTCATATTAAAGCTGAATTGAATCAAATTTCACATCGATAGCTGGAAGAAGATATGTTCTTTCAAAATAGAAGCTTTCCAAAAGAATCCAATTGTTGTATAGATTTATCAATTCTTCAGAAAACAACTGAGTTTTTCATGAAATTCCGTAACGAAAAATGGTTATAATGAGTTTCCTTCTCTTAGGTTACAAATTCATTTTTTAAAAGTGACATCACTGGATAGATCTTTTCGAGATCTATCGAATGGACTACTTTTTATTGATCATCGGTTCTAGTTTTGTGTATTTATATTCAAAATACTTCATTACGGAATTTCATATCACACAGAATACTATATGTTTGTTTTAAAATTTAACATAGTTTTTTTTTATTGCATATACAAAGTTATATCTGTATTATTTTCATATGCGTACTGTACAATGAATTCATGGTATATTCGTTGTTTTTTTAATACATTTTTGTGACTTAGTCACATAATTATTCACCAGCTTTTTTGATCTTTCATCTTTTAGATAAACCATTAGCTCTTTCTTATTTGATGGCTCTCTCCGGTACTGAGAGAGTCCGACGTTTTCGAGAGAAAAAGAAAGCAGCAGGTTTACACGAATTAATAAAACAACAAGATTGTGAACGTAAACGACTTGCTCGTTCAAAAATGCCACCAGCTAAATTAAAAAAATTACGTGTACGTCAACAAACTAATCTTCGTAAATTTCGTTCAAAATCAAAATTAAATCCAACTCGACCATCACCACCTGAATCATCATTTCGAACGAAACAATCTAAATCTAAAGCTTTGAACAGAATTTTAAATGCTTTGCCCGCAAACAAAGACAAACAGTTTGAATTGATTAAAGAAATTGCTGCAAATTTGAACATTATCAAATTGGAAAAAAAATTTGAACGTAATCAACAATCATTATCAACAGATGTAAAACAACAAGTATATGATTTTTATTTTCGTGATGACATAAGTTATCAAGCACCCGGTAAAAGGGATTCAATTACAATTAGAGAAAATGGTGAGAAGAAAAAATTACAAAAACGTTATTTATTATATTCATTAAATGAAGTTTATCAATTATTTGCTGAAGAAAATCCACAAGTTGTGATTAGTTGCTCAAGTTTTAAAAAATTACGACCATGCAATGTTTTATATAAATCAGCAACACCACACAATCTTTGTTTATGTATTCACCACGAGAATATATCTCTTCTCTTACAAGCAATTGATGAACGTATTCATGGCATTAAATCGATTGATTTGAACTCATTTATTAAATTGCTAGTTTGTGATGATAGTCAAGAATTATGTATGTTTAGCAATTGTAGTCAATGTTCGAATAACTTTAAAATGAAAATTCAAGATCAAATGATTGATCCATTTGTAATTATTAAATGGTCGTTATGGTCAACATCAAAAGAAGGTCGAACAGTTAAAATTGATTATGAAGGAACAGTTCAAAATTGTATTCATATTTTACAAACTAAAATCAATCGTTTTTTGTTTCATGTCTTTATTAAAAGACAACAATCGAATTTTTTTGAAATGTTGAAGAAAGATGTTACTGACGAAAAATGTTTACTTCAAGTCGATTATGCCGAAAATTATTCTATTATCGAACAGAACGAAATACAAAGTGCTCACTGGAGCCGAAAGCAATTATCGATTTTCACTGCACACGTTTGGTCTCAATCAAAAACATATCCATTAGTAATAATATCTGATGATTCATCACACGACAAATACACCGTTGCAAAATGTCTTGAACATTTATTCAAACGTTTAAAAATATTATTACCTTCAATGAAAGAGTTAATAATTTTTAGTGATGGTAGTGCTTGTCAATTCAAGCAACGTTTCTTGTTCAAGAATTTGACGTATTTGGCTGATCAATTTTCTCTAAAGTTATCATGGAACTTTTTCGCGAGTCATCACGGTAAAGGTAAGTAAGACTAAAGAATATGTATAAACAAATCTTGATGAAACGAACGTATTGCAAGGATATTCGATTTTGACTAGAAATAGTATTGATTCAACATAGTAGATAAAAAAAAGATTAGTCTTTGATGATTTGTCTTGGGGTAGTGGATGGCGTTGGTGGATCAGTGAAAAGAATGGTATATCAAGACGTACTGGTTGGTAAACGATGTAGAAATGCAAATGATTTTTTACATCTAATTGAACAAAAAAATACTTCATTTGTAATCGATGAATTATCATCAGATGAAATTGAACATGGTCGTGATGGTCTTGGATTAATTTTTAATCAAGTGAAGGCAGTACCAAATATCCAAAAAGTACATTCAATGACTGTTATAGATATTGATAAAATTGAATGTAAAATTTATTCTTATAGTGATAAAAAGACAATAGTAAATTTTTAATATATTTTTGAATTTGTTGATATTGTATTTATATGATATATTAGAAACTGTGTTTGTAGGATTTTCTTTATGGTAACAAAAATTAAATTAGTTGAATTAAAAAAACATTGCTTTACTCTCTGTGAACAAAAAATCAATAATGTTGTGCAACAATTAATTTAAACTTCAAGCTATTAAACCTTCTGCATTCAAATCGCAAAAATAGGTGAAATTCCGTAACATTTGAAATTCCGTAACGCTCAGTCTTTTAAGTCGTCTTATTTAAAGGGATGTCCTACAGAGAAAACGACATGATATTCTAAGAGCTTGTGAAAAACTGAACAACCTTTGTATAGAACATTCATTTATGAGTTGCTTAGTTTCGAAGAAAAATGCTAAAATCTGAGTCTCCCCTCAAAATTTTGTCCATTTTTTGAAATTCCGTAACGAACGATGTTTTTCAAATAACTCCGTTATGGCTTGCGACAAGTCAGTGAAATTTTTAGTGCTAGTAGAGCTAGTTAATCTTCATATATGCCCAAAATTTCAGAAACATCTCTCTTGTTATTGAGGAGATATATGTCTCACAAGTTGAAAAAATGAAATTCCGTAACGCTTGGCCGTGCCGATATATAGAAAAAAAATTACAGTAGTTGATTATTCGATTTTCATAAATTTTGCTTATGAATTTTGACAAAGAAAATACAAAACTGTTAGAATTTACACATAATAGCATGCATGTAAGAAAAAAACATCTAAAAGTTGTAGATAACTATTAAAAAACTGAGTTGTAACATACCATAGCGTTAGATCTAAGTTGGTTCGATTAGACATAAAACATTATAATGAAAAAATCATATTTAGGTAAACCGGAATCAGGAGATAAATTATAAAATGTCCACTGCCTCATTATATAT